ACATAGCTTCGATTGGCATCCCGATAAGTTGGGTTTAGCTGTGTGCGGTTCGTTCGATCAGTGTGTGCGTGTTTTAGTGACCACGAAATTAAATTTACTTTAAATAAATATTAGCTGTATTTGAAATACAATTTTTTTTTTCTTTATTTTAAAATATTAATTTGCATTTTTTTCTAAACTTAAACACAGGTTTAAACTAAAATATTATCAACTTGCATTCATGCGCTGCTTAACCGTCGCTGTCAGCGTTTCGAGTTGCGCTTTCAGTACCGTTAGAGCTTCTTCATTTTCCGGCCACTTCTCATTAACTTTTGCCGTGGCACGTAGCACAGCCTGCGCTGCCAAACGTGCGGAATTCAGTTGTGATGTAATCATTACGTCGGTTTCTTCTGGCGCATGCTGCTTGGTTGCCTCCAAAGACAATTCGCAGGCTTGCTGACACACTTGTATCACTTTGAGCGCATACGGTTGCTTCGTCGCCCACTCCAGCTCTTTGGTAGTATACGCATTCACAGCTTTAACCAGCTTTTGTGCCCTGTTGTGCGGTGTAACAGCAAGTAGTGCTGCCAATTCCCATACTTTCGGTTCGTTGCCATGCTTAATACATTGGTGCGCCATTAAAGTGATGGCTTTCTTACGCAAACGCTCCTGAGTTTGACCTTTGGCGTCAGGTTTGCCTTCCACAATGGCACCAATAGTAACGCAAAGCACCTCCAAGTCCAGATAGCGATCCTTCAACTCGCTGAGACGGTTATAAGCATTCAGCGCGTCTTCTAGATTACACGTATCCACGGAAACAATCATGAAGTTTTCCCAAACCTTTAAAAGTAAAAATGATAAATAAAAAAAAACTTTTCTCAAAAACAAATATTTTTACCTTCCAGTTGTTGTAATTACATTTCAGCGATTCGCCTAGCACTTTGTGTGCTCGCGGTTTATCGCCCAATTTTACTAAAGCTTTTGCTAAGTTATTCCACGATTCGAAACCCAATGGCTCGATATGTGTATATGTTATATACGCGTGCACCGCGAGCTCCCAACGTTCCAGTTGTATGGCAGCGAAGCCCAAGCGTAGCCATATCTTCTCTTGCAAGGGATTTATCTCCACAGACTTCTCCAAATGTGGTATGGCTTCGACATGCTCTGCTTTACGGAAGTAATATGAGCCCCAGTGTGCTTGCGCTCTGCCGCTGGTATGTTTGGAAAACTCCCACGCTGTTGCATAGCAGTTGGGATCATCAATGGCATCGCCAAGCAGACAATGCAACAACACAGTGGGTTTCTTCTCCAATTCTTGTCTTATTATTTCGGCGGCCTTATGACGCAATTCCAGCTTCGTATAACATTGGATAACTTCGGCCCATGCTTGTATTTGCAGATAAATATCCAATGCCGTTTTTGTCATACCCAATGACAACAATAACTGGCATAGCTGCATTTGTACTTGCCATTTGGGTTGTAGGAAGCCAGCAAATGCGTAGGAGAGTCGCTCTGGTAATGTAAATATGGGTCCGTCAAGTAATTTAACGGCACCTTCACATTGCTTCCAACTGCGCTCCACTGTGCGCCGCTGATTCGACTCTTGCACACAATTAAGCAGCAAAGCGGATTGACGTACTTGTAGTGGCCCATGTTCCTGATATAAAAGCGTTTTTATATATGGCTCCAGTTCTTCATCGGCAAGACGATCTTTTGGCTGCGAACGTTTGAGTTGTTTACTGTAAAATTATATTTTACATAGTACTAGAACGGACAGAAGAAAAATAAAAGCAATATTTACACTTTCGCTAGCACCAAAGCCTGCAGTACGCTGGGCAATGTCATCACTTCGTTATCTTTCGGTTCAATAAAGCGTATACGCTCAAGTCTTGTGTCGTCATCTAAAAGCAGTAACTTGGGTATATTCGTTTTACCGTTGGTGGCCTGTGCCAATGGCAAATCACTGTTGGTATGCTTCACTTTCAGACAGAGTTGTGGCAGCGGTTTCTGCTGAAACTTCGTGCGCACACCAAGTAATCCTATTTGGAAAACATTTAGTTTTAAATGTAACAAAATATTTTTTAAAGCAAATACCTTCCACATTCAACACTATACCAAACCGTTGGCATAACTGTTCAAGCACATAGTCTGCTTTTTGTGAACGATGAAAGAGTAAGTAACTATTTCCCACCTCTAAGTAAAGTAAGGCTTGCAGCTCTTTATCTTGTATGTTTTCAACATTTTTCAATAGACTTTCAGCTACTAACTTAAGCTGCTCATATAAATTACTGGTTAACTCATCAATTACATTCTGCTGTATGTAAATTAAACGCATGTGCCACCATTGCAGATACTAGAACGGTAGACCAAAAAGTTACTTACTCTAATTAAGTAATATTATGAAAATAAGTAACTGCTGTGCTTACCAATGAGTCCGGCCAATACTGACGTAGTAAATCTAAAATTTCTTTTGCTAACACTAATAACTCGCCCAGTTGGACATTTGGATTTATTTCTTCACCATTTTCCATAAGACGCTTAAAAGGATCATATTCTCCTAACGCTTTTGTTTGCAGAAAATTGCTGAACTCCTCCAGTTGTTTAAATGGCCCTGTAAAATTGTTTTGCACGAATAGGAGTGTCAGCTCCACAGCATGGCAAAGTAGTGTGTCCGCTGTTTCTAAATTTGGCTCCTTTGTATTGTTAATACTCCAATTATCTAAAATGATTTGTAAACGCGTCGTTGTCCATTTACAAGACCAAAGCTGACGCAAAGCTTCTGTGGGCAAATCTGTTAGCAAGAATTAAGGCTATTAAGTGTCTAATATGTAAAGGAATTTGTTATGAAAAATACCTTCCAATTTGGTAATTTCATTGAAATTGCACAAATGATACTCATTGAATGGTTCGACACTCATTTTCAAAATTTTATTTGTTTGGTTTTTTAAATATACGCTCAAATAACAAAGCATGGAATGTCGCACGTGCGTTTTTAAACGTTTGTTTTCTTTTAATTTTCTTTTGCCGAATGCATTCAAATCAGCTGATAAGTTGGTCCACATTATGACAACAGAAATCGAGAACTGTCTATTTTAACCTTTGTTATATGAGTAACTTTTATTAGTGTAAATTACATTTTTTTTTACAAAACTAAAAATTAAAATTAATGAGATCATTTGTTTTCATGTAACATTTATAATACTAAAAAATCAGAGTGATAAGAATGAATAATATTTAGTTTTACCTATATAATAAATATATGTATAACGTTTGTGGGAAAAATTACTTAAGATCATGTTGTTAATGACTTAAGTATACTGGAAAATAAATTAATGAAAACTAAAACAATAATGATCATGATTTTTTTTTTTTACCTATACCGATTTTTTAAATTACTATATATGCTATTCTTAAAAATTTACTATTAATATTAATTATGTCTGTTTAAATATCTCTCGGAAGTTACTTGTTCCATTACTTAGCTAAATGTATATAAATAAGTTTTTAAAATTAACTTTGGTGACAAACACCGTATTTAAGTTCTTTGAATTGTTCCTTAAATATGTGTCGTTTCCACTATAATACATCAACTGATGTACGCGGCACTAATCAAATCGAAATGCAGCAATTACTTCCATAATAAGATTACGGTGTCTGCAATCATCTATTCCAAATAACTGCAAATCCAAATATGTCAACTCTAAGAACTGTTCTAACTCAATATTATGCTCCGCAAACAAATCCATATAAATTTCCAAACCAACACTTGCTAGTAGGGCACATACACTGAGTGTTTCATTTAGGAAGCTGCTACTAAAATTGGACTCTGAAGCATCAAGATTTATTTGTCCTAACGCGTTTTTTAAAAATTCCACATCTTGTGACTGCTGTAACTGCATTATTTCACTGCAATAACTGTCGAGCCGTGCTGTCTGGAGTAGAAAGATAAAAACATCCGTATACCTGCATCACTTATTATAATTTGCACCACTCACCTGCGACGTATTCATCAATGTTGGATTGTTTGCCATTGTATTTATTTTGCAATGCTTTGTCGTGAACTTAAAATGTGTAACTAACAGGTTGATGATGGATTTAAAGAATGTAAAATCAGGTAAAATGACAACAAAAACAAAAAATGAAGGTTACCACAGTTATTGACTATTTCTATGCCGAAGAAAAAGTACTTGCAGCTTACACAGAAGTCTTTTTACTCTATGAATTTTGGGAAACTTTGGGTTTATAAATATTTTATTTTATTTAGAGTTTCTAGCAACATCTTCACGTTACCGCAATTTGTTCACCCAATTCTTTGGTTTGCCTCAATTTCTTGT